ATGACTGGCTGAGGACGGCTAATAAGTCAGAAATGGCCATTCCAGTCTCCCTTGTCTTTGTCGGTAATAACATACTGTCAATCTTCGTGTTGTAGACCATACCACCTCGACAACTCCCTCTAAACGTACCGTTAAGCTGTCCACAACAAACCCACTGCCCAGCCTGCTCTACCGGCTCTATATTCACAAGTTATTGCCTTAGACAAAGATGTTTGATCTTCAAGTAACATCAGCAGTATGGAGGCCGCATGCTTGGGGATCCTTGTTAGGACGACCGGAGGACAGTAGACGTCGTACTACTAACAACAGTCAGCTTTGCACCGGCAGTTCAACCGGCATTACCGGCAGTATCTACTGTGTGCCCTACAGCAGGATGTACGCAGAGACTCTGACTTGCGCTTGCGTTAGTTTCTAGAGGCTATAAACTTTCGCTGCACCTGCCGCGCTCTCTCCACCCTCTCCCACCTGAATCCGGCGTCAAGAAGGAGTCAGGAAGGCCGGAGGCAGGATCGGGTGTAATGACTGGGAGAGCTAAACAGTTCTTGTGTTCGACACTAGCTGCCAGCACATACACTCATAGCACCGGCCGACTTACTCATACATTCACGAACAATAATTAGGAATGTCATATCGCCCCCCCCCCCACATACACCCCCTCCCCCCTATCAAGAGCGGTGAGGTCTACCGAATGTACCGAATTCGGGGATATGGCAGCTTACACGTAAAGTTGTGCGTCGTGATTTCTGCACTTATTTTAATCACAAGTCAGGATAAAGTCAAAACAAGAGGGTGCAGCGACTGACAGCGACGAACAGCCAGTCCTCGCGTGCCTGAACTGACGGGGTCTCCTTCAACGCCACATGATTCAGGTTCCATGAAACGAAAGAGATGTCGAATTTTACAAAACTGGCCACTAAAATACTACAGTCTGACGTACAGTATGAATGTGAAAATAGTTTTCCGGCCGGTTGGTGCTCTTGCAAGGCACAACTACTGGCGAATCATATTTTGCAGTCATCAAATTTGCTTACGCGGACACATTGATAATTCCTGAGGAGACATACCACAGCACAGACCTACCGTCTCGAAAATCACATGTGTAATCTACACCCTCAGATTTATGCCTACTCAGCACTCATACCAAATTAGCCGAGCTGAAATTGCCCGTCCTCAGCATGGTCCTTAAGGCACTTTACATTATGTAAGATCTGAAGCACCCCTTTACAGACTAGTTCGTGTGGTATTACCTTTGCCACGCCAGATGCTGCGCCCACTGTCATCTCCAGCAATCTCTACGCTGTCAATTATGAAAGTAGATAATAGGGTTAATGCATTGCAGGTCTGCTTCGCTGAAAACCAATTTGCGCTGAAGTACTCACTCTGCCCTATCCGGTATGCTGGTGTTGCTTTTTCCTTGCAGAGGACGAACTTATCACTGTACGTTGCATTCACAGGAGTACATCGGCCACCACTAATTTTCGTGTCGAGAATAGTAATATAGATCTGCCTCTGTCCTCTGCGTTGCAGATGCGAGGTTATGTTAACACGGCGTCCTCCACATTCAGTCCTTGTGGATCATACACGATGCCGAGAAACCGAAACATCAGGAAACTGCGTCAAAATCGAAATAAGAGCCTCATTCTTATGATCTGTGAAGCAAAATAACCTCCCCCGAGGGTCACGAAAGGCATTTTTGTTAGTTATCTCCTAAATGTAATTCAGAAGCTATGCATTCGAAAAAGGCCACAGCAGAATTGGGCAGACTCCATTTCAAAAATACAGCACCGGAATAGTTTATGAATCTTTGGCAAACCATATAGCCTTGGAGGTATTACGCCTGTGGGTTTAAGAGTTTAAAACTTTTGTTCATTAAGAAAACCCTGATCTTTCAATTTCCGAAGACATTTTGTGAGTTGGGCCTCTACGTTCTCTGTTCGGCCCTTATTTTGCTTCTCTCTTGAACTTCGCGTCATCAGCCACGTCTGATCTCATTTTCGATACGTAAGCACTTTTATTCATTAGAACGAGACCAGAAACATTGTCCGGTTTGGGGACGAGTACCTCCTTATTTTTACGCAATTCTTTGACTTTCTCCAGGCGTTTTTTCGTGATATGCCCGATTCTTAGTGGTTCTGCTCTAAGGTATTGGTAGCAACTATTCACAAGTGTTGATTTGGAATACTTTGTCTCCTCCGGCGTTGTAAGTATTAGGTCATGCGTCCGATTCAGCTGATTTTCAACGTTCACTTCTGCCACGAGTCTGTCTGGTCTTTGATTAGGAAAACAAAACTTGGTGGCCTAACGATAGTACCTCAATCAAGTATTTGTCGAGTGTCAATTTAGTGAAATGATGCACCTACCGCTCCGGAGCATTTGAAAAAGTTGCCTACGTGCGCATCCGGTTGAAACTGCGAAGAAGCTTTATCCATTTTAATTCCATCCGTCTTTTTATCACACTCTCAACATAGCTGCTAAATTTTTTTCGTTCTTCTTCAGTTAGTTCGTCTAATATCACCAGAAAGACCTGCCGTCGAAAATATATTCCTTTACACATAACCAGTCATATAGACGCCTAACTCAAGCTGTATCACAGACCTTTCCAGCAGCTGACACCCATGTACTGTTCTCCACTAGTCCCATCCTATTCGGAGAGGGCAAGAACAAACTACCAGTTCAGACCACCTCTATGTGTATTTACTCCTCCACCTGCTCCTGTGGGGCAGAATATATTGGTCGCACGAGCCGGCATTTGTCTAAAAGACTAAAAGAACGTCTTCCAGCATGGTTAGAGAAGCGTCAAATAAAGAACATCGACAGCTCGATCCTCGCGCACATGGTAAACGCAGACCACCGTGTAGACGCCAGAGGGGCCCTCAGAGTGATTTACAAGGTCCCATCAAGCTATCCAAAACTACTTGGGCAGAACTTGTTGGCTACGGTAGAGGCGGCTGCAATCAGGCTGCGCGGACCGGTCCTATGCGCACAGAAGAACTTCATACAGGTCCCACAGTTGCCATGGGTCAAGGCCACCAAACCAGCCACTCGGATGTAATTACCTTCGCCGGGACCCACCTTCTCCCTGGCGCTGACTGGAATTGTGGTGTTTCACTCTTCCCCTCCCCTCCCCAAAACCGAGCTACATCTTAATTAACTAGTTGCCCGTATCTTTTAATGTATTACTTCAATAGCCATATAAATGTACAGACCTGAAGAGAATTTATCGAAAGCAGACGTATGCTCGGCAAAGTGCTCTTTGAATTATAGAACATCGTTACTTCCTTAGATAGAGTAGCTGGTATTTCCGTAACCAAATCGGCCCACCTGTGAGGTAAAAAACAGGTTCACTGAAAAGCCCTAGTAGGAAATTAATAAGGACATCATAGAACCTGGAGTTCATATACTAGGAGCATAGGAAGCGCTGGTAGGGCACTGATGACCCGAACCTCTTGCAGCTGCGTCACAGAGACGCACAAGATCGGCGAAACGCGCGAGTTAGAACTTCCAGCTGATACCTGCGCTGTCCGTACGGCAATCATTCAGTATTTGCGTTGTTAGGACGCTCCAGTGAGACTGAAATGTCAATTTTTGACTTAGTTTGTACTAGTGATCAGTCATGCCCGAGCTTGTGTTGAGTAGACGGGGAAGTTGGGCCTGGGCGCAGTCGGTCATTGGACTGCTGGACAAGTCCAGCAGTTACACACAGAAAGTGGATTTACTGACATATCCTTAGTGTCGTACCGGAGAAAGTTGTTACGTTTTGCCTTAGAGCTCCAGTTTAAGGGCCCCTGAATACGGTGGTGGAATAACACAAAATCGATAAATAATAAGTATACTGGCTTATACAATCGACCACAAACTTCATCAGAGGATCAACAGCAGGACATCCAACTATTAAACAGTTCCCTTTTAATGCGCCAATTGTCTTGGTCAAAACCAGTCCTTCTGTTTCTGCAACAAGAGAAGGTTATCTACCACAGGTGACACGACAATTCCACGTCCAGCTCTGTCTTATTAGGCAAAACATAGTGGATACCTGAAGACTGGTATTCAGTCGGACAGACAGTATTCACAAGTCACATTTTATCATAAAAGTCACCGGTTGACCTAAGAACTCAGGTATGAGTGAAATTCCCACCTAACCTATATCTAAACACGATTAACCGTCATTTACCCGTATTCAACACTTATATCAACTTGCTCCTCCCTGACTGCCCGTTTCTGTGATATACAAATCTGGTCAGTTACCTGAGAATCCATGGCAGCACGACGGGGTAAATGTTGTCAGGGGCTCCGACCAACAAGTGTCAAGCTTAACTCGCCTGACTGCACTGTCCCCGCACGGTGCGGCATCGCACAGGCTTATTCGATGTCCTGCGTACACCCTAAAGACCTTTCTAAAAGCCGTATCCACCACCTATAGATTAATTATGCGATGACGTTTGTCTAGGGGTGTAATTACGAGCAATTCACGTTATGCGTGAATGCTTGCATGTGGCATGTGTTAACCGGAGCTTTCAGACCTGTTCGGCTACTGTTCCCAATCTCACCCACTCTCAGTCTCGCACTGCTTTGTAGCTATGGCATGAGGAAAGGCGGACAGGTCATTCCGGCACGGATCCATTGACTACAATCCTAACGAATCGCGCTTTAAATTATCCCAGCCCGTAGAGTGTGGTTGAGAAGGTTGCCAAACGACGGAACACGTGGGTCCTCCTACGGGCTGAAAGTCAGGCCGCAATGACTCATGCGCAGTTTTGCCCATATGGCATCAACACTAATGTGAGATCCGAAACCCCTCATTACAGACTGGTTCATGTGATGCTAGGGTTCAGCTCGTGTGCGATGCCCAAAGAACTGATCTGATCTCATCAGCTACTGTGCCCACTTTCATCTAATGCCGTCCCTACCCTCTTTCACCGGTGCAACGTGATGAACGTGGGAAGAGAAAGTAGGTTTGATGCATCTAAAGTCTACTTCACAAGCAAGTCGTCATTGTACTCTCCCGGGCCAATGCTGGTCCTTGCTGCTTGTGATGGGTAGGAAAAAAGGAGAAAAAGTTTGGCAGAACGGACTACACGGCGAATAGGCGAGTACCGATCACGCAGACAAAGTAGTACCGACAATGACCAGGGAGACCGGGATGGCCATTTCTGGGTTATTGGCCGTCGTCAGTCAGTAAGACCCAACCACACTACCGATTACTCGTGCAGAAAATGGGAGATTCGTACAACTTCAATGAGAGCAGGAAAAAGTGGAATTCATTCTAAAAACCACCATCAGAAAAAACCAAGTCCAGCAAAAAGTGCCATAAACTTGAACTCTATTCGGTAGCGTCGCTCGACTCCTAGGGCCTGTAGAGGATGACGGATCTAAGCTTCGAAGTCTAGTTGTCACAAGTGGAGACCCTGTATTATATTTTCCTTGTCTTTTATGGTTCGTGTAAAGCTCATTAAGTCTGAGAGACCATTATACGAGAAAAATGCTCTTTTCGAAAACGAAAGGGATCTTTTTTGATGGAATAGATGTCCAAATGTGGTCAAAAGGTTTTTCTGGAAAGCCGTGCGAGAGGGTAGTCTTGTCCCCCACCCTTCGGGCAACAATAACCATGAAAAATTTGCTTTAGCACTCCGCACGTTAATTTCTACTTTTATACATACGACTTCTGCGGTACAGGTTGAGACCAAGTCGACCTAACCTTGTTTCCGTGATTAAGCAAAGTCGTTACAGAAAATTTTCCGCGCAGACTTGAGCCATAGTCTCTAGGTGGCTGTGTCAAGAGCTGTCTTTTACATCGCAACGTTGTGCTTTGTATTTGCATATTAAGTTAATGAATGCGACAACATGATCAGTTGACAGGTAAAGCACATCGAAAAAGAGATATGTGCGTCCGCGCAGGATTAATCAGCTTTGGTGCCAGTATGATGGTTCACGCGTGAAACCCTAACGTTCTTAAGGCAAGGAAAATGACGCTAAACCGATCCCATTCTTGCTCTGTTAAGAGCAGACTTAAGGAAGTCTGATGTGATCCAGTTATCATACTTTACAAAGACAAGCATTTAAGACCGAAAGTGGTGAGGACATGTGTGGATCGCTTGAGGGGAAATTAACAAGTATGCAAAATAGCCAATCAATATGGATTATGCCCTTAGTCTCACAAGGAAACGAGACTTTGATGTACTGTTTGCGGGCAAAATATTCTTCTATAACCGATCCAAAAGCACCTGTGTGCCCGTTTTTGGCGTAGTCTCGGTCACGTAGTTTCCAAGTTGGAGCCTACTAATATTTTCAGCGCAACGCATACTAGAAGTAATATTTGGCGGTACTGACGGTTTATGATATCGAAAAGCAACGCCACTCCTTATTGCTGCGTCACCGTACCTAACGTGGTTTATGTTACACCTATCTGGTTAATGTGGCTGTATAATAGGTTCAGCTGTTGTTGCATTACATCGAACCAGGACATGACACGTGCCGGGACTTTTGTGCGAACATTTGAAGACCATCAAAAACCTATGAACGCTGCTCAAAACAAAAGAGTTGGTAAACAGCCCAGATACGCGATCTGCGTGAGTCAAATGAGATGGGTTTTACTTCTCACAGTCTCTTCTCTACATGGACTGGTTTAAAGGCAATGAACTAGTGCTGACTCATTATCTCGCCCGAAATAAGTTGACGGAATCGAGGCAAACTCCTGAAGACAAGGCTTCACAACTCCATTCCCAGATTTCAAAAAATAACCTCATTTTAGTTTAAATCAACACAATAAAAACGTCACATCGAGGGAATTATGAACGGCTGAGCGTAATGACTGAGAAAATCCCCTTTGATCGGTGGAGAAAATGATCATATATAGCCATCGATTTCTAGACTGCGACGATTTCCCGGATTATAGAATCCCCACGCGTGTCTCCCAAGTTAACACATGCCTGTAGGAAGTTAGAGTTAGTAATGCAAATGGCTTTGTGTTTGCCCATTCGTTCGACCAAATTGGACCTCCGGACCGAGCCAAAGTGAAGACCTATCAGTGGGACAAAATGTTAGCCTCAGTCAACTTACGTAAACCTTTGGTCCTTAAATGTGTTGTGCACTTTATCACTTGATGTCTACAGAGTTCCGTACGTAGTCGCACAGCACAAACCACACACCTGGAGCAGATCAAGCACAGTTTAAGTATTTCGGCTTATGTTCCAGTGGCTAAAATGTCAGGTCTCAGGTGAACTAACAGTTCGAGAATGAGAATACCGTACAATTTACGTAATCTGTGTTTTCAAGCTTTTAGGACTTATAATTGTGGTGAAGAAGCCATTCTAAATCCGGCTTAACTGTGCCGAAAGGAAGCGCCTCCAACCCGCCTAAACCTCTGAACAGACGCTCGCCTCGTGGAGGCCGACCAAACTCGAGAATTAATAGAAGATTTCATTCTGTCCGTTTTGGGCGAAACCTCACACACAGTTGGGGTTCGTTTCCAGATTACCAAGTCTAAGGATTTGCACATGACATTTACTCCCGAGGTAAAAGCCTTAGTCGCTGGATCCAACCTCGGTAGCATTCAAGCTCCTGAGATGCGAAGTGCAGTACAGACTGACTAAATCGACCCCAAACCAAAGGCGGTTTTCAGAATCGTCCAAGGACCGTCTGCTCAGATCAGCTGGAATTTAACATCACAGACTAACAATTAGTGGCTGATCGGTGGACGAGTCCGCCGAACACGCGGTTGGGAATTACCAGAGGTCGGATAACAACGATAATAGTCGTAAAGTCACAAGGGGTCTTAGCCTTGTTTGATGGCCCATGGAGTTATATTCGCGGAGTACCCGGCATGGCCTGTCGCACATCCATCGCGCTCTGAGCAAGATTACGCTCGAAATAGGCTTGGGCGCATCGACTGACAAAGCATATGGTCCGGGTTTTATGCATACCACACGTGCTGTTCCTACTTCGCATATTAATTAGGTATTACCCGAACAGACCCTCCCCATATACTCATGGATCTCATCTTGAGCCGACCTGGGGTGGCCAATTGTCAGTTTACGGCTATTAGTATAGCTTAACAATCGCAAACAACGAGGGCCAAAACCGACCACGGACCTAGGGGTGACTTGGGCGCGAATCCACGTATAAAGGGGCAAATTTTCGATCCATTTCTCAAAGCCAGGGCAGGTTACGTACCACAATTGATGGGAAGAGTGCTGACAAGACTGGCCGCTGGATCGACCTCACTCTCTATGCGCTTCCGTGTCCCAATGGCTGTCTGAGTCTGTTGGGAGACAAAAAATAGGGTGCAGTGCCTTACGCGGCACGAGCTTCGTCGACGCGTGCGTGACAAATCAGAGACTCATTAAAGTTCAGAGTAGTCCTAGTAACGCCTACTATGGGACGATATGGCCTTCGTCCTAGCCAGCGTGAATGAGGAACTGTCAGTCCGAGTGGGAACAACCAGTGTCCATATCCAACAACTCAACCCTCACAATCAACGTCCACCGTGTGCCAGTGAGAGCAGGACCGGAGAGTAGCGCGCGAATTATTTTATGAAGTAGACTTACGCAGCACCTACCGCATTTTCTCATCCACTCCCTTCCTGGAGGGAGAAAATTTCAAGACAACCGTAAGTGAGCTCGGGCTCAGTGAGCACACACGCCCCGGTCTTCACTACATACACCAAACTACAGCAAGGTCGACTCCGATCTCACAGGAATAGGCGATGGAGCCATTGCAGCCTGATTCTGTCCTGGGAGAGACCGCGTTATGCCACCGGTTAGAAACCTACCCAGCCACGACTCTTAACGTGTCGGACTGGTCATAGGGAGGAACGTGCTTGTCTGTCGTAAAGAAGGATTCCCGCTGCCGGCTTTACTCGCCCCTCCCATCTACTCACGCAGCAACCGACGGGGTGAGCCTTTTAAATAACTGTTGCTGGGGTTGGGCGCGATGGCTGACGCGGCGCGCAAACCTAAGTCTAAAGTCTGCCACACGCACATATGTGCTACAGCTGTTGTGGATTCGTGCAGACTCGGCACAACCCGCCAAACCCTTGTCGAGAGCCAGTCTAAGCCCTTTTGGTCTACCGCATCTACAGTGGAAGTCTTGTTGGAGCACATTCGAATGTCCACAGACTCCAAGACAGATCAAATATGCTAAACCTGTGGTGGGTAGTCCGTTGCGTATGGGATAAATTGGTCATCCTATGAAATGCCTGAATTATCCATGCTCAACCCACGGTCTTTAGTCTGGATCTTGCAGATCCAGAAGGTGAGCACTTTAGACGGCTGTTATGCAACATGAAAATCTCACAGAAGATTACTAGGGCTTTTATGTTAACAGAAGTTATCTTAGAAGAAAACTGTTGGAGGTAACAGTCCATGCAAATTTATCGATTAATCCGTCGGAGGCAGTTGAGAAGACCGGTGGACGGTGAGGAATTGTAATTTGATGTATTAGAAAGAGCGCAGCTCCCTCACCTTGCTTTGTAGAAAACAGGCCACGGAGATTGCTAGAACCTGGACGACGCACAGCACTCCAAATACAATGAGCACTATACGACCAGCCGATTCCCAAAGAGCTGTAAAGGCCTGTTTGCATGTCTACAAGACAGAAAATAAAGAAAGACGACAGGCTTAGTTGGGTCTTCACAACACAAAATTTGGAAACGTTGCCGAAAACTCCTTGTGAACAGAAGCGAACAGCCTAATCACAGTAGGTGACAAACGTTCCAAGAAGCCTCTTAATTAAAGTTTGGATCTTCTTGAAGGACGAATAACTGTAGCTTCGGGAGTAAGTTCATTCACGAATCCCAATAAAAGGGTTACACGCCAGGCTATTTTTGATAATTTCGACAAAGGATGGACACTTAAGTGTGTAAGAGGGATGAATTAAACTCAGCGGCAACTCTCTAAACGATATGCCAAATGTCTAGAAAACATTCGGCAATCGCAGGTCGCAGACTATAAACTATTAGGACGCCGAGCAGCGCGGGCTTCAGTCGTCAACACCCACGAAAGTAATCTACTTCTTCGTCCGTTTAAGGATATCGGTCAGTTTGTTGCGAGTTTTGTGCATACCAAGGCAGTCCGAGGAGCATTGGTTAGCGCACTTTACTATAAATGTGGCCTCTCACGTTATAGTAAACAGTGTTGCCTATGCACCTGCACACGTAGGCATCTGGCCTATTAATGTACTCCCAAAACTTGCAATGACTGCAAGGTCGCACCTAAACGACCGCCAAGACATGTGCCTAACACGCGCCGAACTTTTTCGAAATTATTTAAAATAAAATGCGCCTCGACATTGAACACTCGCAAGTATCCGGCAACCAGGACATGGCAGATGAAGAGAAATGTCGACAAAAACGAGGGAAACCAGGACATGAAACTGGATTCTCCTCAGCACTACTTCTTGATTATAGACTGTTCTTCGTTTTCTCAACCACCTGTGAGGGCTTTGCATCGGGGCTCCAAGGTAAAACGAATGGCCTATGGTTGGTTCCATACCTAGGATAGATCGGCGAGCGCTACTCTTACCTGGCCCTCAGACCGAACTACAATTACCGACATTGTAGACCAGTTTCCGGGCATAAGTCAATTCCACATGGGTTTGGTGAACACTGCAGCTGCCCATGAATTTCGCGCCATCGCATGTCACCAATCTGGCTACCCTAATTAAAGTAAACAGTGACGCGTAGGCATCTGTTTGCAAAGATAGTTAGCTCACTAATGTGTCAAAGGTGACTGTCGTACAGGAAAGGCAGCGGGGTTCTCAGAGACTTGTGGCGGAATATAACAGCTGAAACGAGGGGTCCTAAAGTTGACTACAGAACGTACTGGTCGATGGAAATTTGAGATGTTTGATCGTAAGTATACTGTTTTCGCTTGAAGCATTAAGTGATAAGGAGATTTGGACAATTAAGTAAATCATCAAAAGATAGAATTTCCCAAAAAATACCTGTTTGTAGGCGTTCAGATGCGTGCAGTGGACGCCGTATTCGCAGCAACTCGGGGGCAGGTCACTGATATTCGGGCTGTTTTCATACCCGCAACATTTTAGCTAAACCGAAACAGGAGTCAAAAACTGGGAATAAATACATTTGTTTGGATTCGATTTCTGCCTTCTTCGACTTCAAAAGCAGTCTTAATGGAAGAAAGAAGCTGGGCGAAAGCCTGCAAGAAAGTCATAGTAATAATGGGATTACCTCATCCTTATACGTAAGCCAGAGGACTAATAATGTCACTTGTAGTGCCAAAAGGATAGCTACAATAGTGGCAAACTAAGGATCGTTATAATTCAAAAAGGATTAATGTACAGAGACAAGCATGCAGACGTTTTCGTAACATGCACCACAGCATCCTAGAAATCCAATGGCTACGACGGTGGTTCCGACAGCCATGAGTGCAATCGACGTGACAATCACAACATTATAGAAGCCGGTTTCGTGTACCGACATCTGGTAGTAGAGATAACCGCCAAACGCAGTAACAGCGATACCACATATCTAAAGGGAGATAAAGTCGAAGAAACGTCAAACAGGAACATGTTTAAAAACCAAAAATTAAAAAGCAATGTTACACAAATAGGACGAAAATAAAGCATATCAGTTTCATTTCTTTTGGCGACGTGACTCTAATATTCCATATTATCAGTATCACAAGACAGCGCTTTTACAATCATCGCTGCCATTGCTCACACGATCCAAGGCATGCTATGCGGGAAGACACGAGAGACAGGTGATTTGGAGCGAAAAAGAAGCCTTGCCCGCGTTCACGTCCACGTTTCCAGCTAACAAGTTAGAAGGTTTTACTTATTCTCAATAAGTAATTGAGTTCGCTAATCTCTGCACAATAGACGGGCGGATTCTACATCCATAGAATTCAGGCAGTCAGACTAGGAAGTCTGCGAAAGAAAGGTTCTCACACACATTCGCAGACGCGAGCCGACAAGTTAAGGCAGTGTTAACCAATAAGTTCACTAATTAGCGTTTATATGGCTTCCCATGATATAAACAGCGGCGAATTTCCAGGACTTAATGGCCGGCTAGCCGTGGCCTATTCGTGGTTCTTGATAAGGATCATCCTCCTCAACGAAAGTCGATTACAGTGAAAAACTGAAATCCAATGGCCCTCTTTCATTCCTCTGCCTCTGGTCGAATGACTATACGACTAGGTGGCAGGGTATGCGGCCCGACTTGCACCTGACCCAACGGGTTGTCGACCTCTCCACTCAATCGGACTGCGCGACCCCTGTGAGTTGCATCCGTCAAATAATAAGCCTGAAGTTACAAAGGTCCTTATTTTCGTGGCCACAATATCAAAACATCATTGGTAGGATAAGAACGGGATGTAATAGTGATTAAAAATAACTCCTATTTCTAGAGTTCGTGAACGTGGTGATTTTTCGGCACAGAATGGGAGTCACTGACCCAGCGAAGAGAACTGATTATATCGCCCTACTAAAGCCTGCTAACGCCGATTTTGTCAGTTATCTGTCAAGGTTGCTGTAAGGTATGGAATTCGAAGGATGTGCGGATTCCGTGATGATAGCCCCGTCACTCGAAGACTTCGTTAGTAGGTTTTTGGGGTGTCGACTGTCGCCCTCAGCGTACCGAATATTCACAACAAACTTGCTGGTAACGTAAGAATTTCCTGTAAATATGTCGAGATCGCAAGATAACTGCCGAAAAGTCTTTTCGAACGATTTCATCACGTCACCCTGAAAGTTGGACATATAGTTTTACACAACTATAGGTCGTCACGTTATCCGGTCATCTGAATGCGAAATGTGAATGGCTTCTATGTCATTAAGACGGCCTGCCTGTTGACGTGTGCCATTCCGAAACCAAACCTGTCAGGGTAGGCATAGGAATGGATCTAACAAAGATTCTAAACAGTATGGTTCTGGATCCACACAATTGGACATCCAGCAGACAGGCGAGATCAGTGCATGAGTGGGCATACAGTTTTTGTTAGTGCTTGCTCATGCAAATACCGCTGGTTTCATTTCAATGTCCACAAGGGCCAGTTCGCACGTTTCGAAGATAACGAACTAGTCAGGGTTCGAAAGAATTGGTTTCCGCGTACGTCGTAACAAAATTGGATCCGCGTGAGAACCGATGAAACTCACGTAAGTTTATGGAATTCGGACGTAGGCTCAAAAAACTGCGGTGCTCGATGTAAGGTTATCTGGCAGAGGGTGGTATTTGCGACCATGATGCAGCATCAGGCTCTGATCCGTTTAGAAACTGTCAACTTTCCGGAACACAGGCCAGTAGCCCCTTAAGATATAACTGCCACATGTTCCACGACTACTTAAGGGTCGGCGTTTCAGTTGAGAGGTTCGCAGATATTCCAACTTGGGGAGGGATGTCCACAGTCTTAGGACGAGCCCGTAGGCCGCAATGCTGTTAAAAAACGAAGCTAAGTCCCGTTAATTTTATAATGCAATAAGTTCCTCGACTTTGTTTACCGGCGGGCTGATTATTTATTCGTATTACTCCTGTCTTTGCTTTGTGCAATGATGGCATTAGACCCTATAGGAACAGTTTAGGAAACACCGTCCAGGGGTGCTCTTCAGTGTTCTATCGATTGCTAGATATGGCGACAGCGCATCTGGACTGTCAGAGTTGTTACCGTTCAAAAATTGGAGACGGAATCAAGAGATGACGTCAGCAAACATATAATACAGGGTGTGACGTTCCATACGTTGGCGCTAAAGCGACTTCGGAGAAGTCAACTCAGTTCGCACCCGTTTAATTCAAATAAATGCGGCATTCGCAAAAACTCATATCTCTGCTGGACTTGTCGACAGTCCTGATGGTCAGCAAGACCCGACTCCGAACACTAGACATGACCCCCTCACATCACTCTGACAATTGCGTGGAGTCAGCCGCCTCGAACAATTATAAAGAACGTTTATGAAAAGAATGCTGTTGAGAGCTGGTTGCAGTACTTTAAGGTAAACAAATGTGGTCAATCGGTAAAAATTTATTGTTTCTGGTCAGAACCTCGATCTTTTTACTCTTGGGCGCGTCATACCAAGTCTTTTTTTCAGCGAAAACGCCCCCTGCCCCACCTCCTTAAAAGTAAATGCTAAAAGCGGAGTTTCAACGCTTTACAAAGAAAAAGTTGTCCACATATCAACTGTCTGAAACAGGCAGGGTCCACGTTTGAATGCGTAAGCACCAGTGCCCAACGTGAAATTTGGTTAATCACGAATTAGGCTTGCGTTGCCGGGGTTGTGCACACGCTCAACCCGAAACGTTTGTGACCTCAAGGAGACACTGGCTGGCGTAAAACCTGTCGCCGTGGCGTTGTGACCACTAAGGTCATTGAGAAAAGCGACAGGGAGCGATTGACAGGGCATTTGATTAATACTGATTTTGGTGGACATTTCTCGTTCCAACGCCAAGGAGGCAGACGTGTGGAGTACTAACGGCGACTGACGCCGACATTTGCCATTTTTTCGTTGCTGTTTAATCCAATTCATCTTGAGGGAATTGTCTCGATACTGACTAGAGAGCCCAAGGCATCTTTCAAAGGCGGATTTTTGGACGAGACTGCATAAGGAAATATTGGTGAACTGAAATGTCTATTCATGAAGTTCATCATCCGAGTCACGGTAAAACTGCTGCACGAGCGCAGATGAAGAACTTACAGGTGCTACGGATAGTTGCGGGGTACTTGACGCGGTCGGCATCTCAGCCGACAGTTTTGAAACAAATACTCCAGCCGAAGAGATGCCTACGAGAAAGGTGAAAGTGCAGACTGTATGCCCACACGCAGCAAGTGCCACGTGAAGACAATGTTCGCAAGTTTTAGAAAGCATGTGAAAGACACGATGGGGAGTACTTTTTTGGAACCGTAAGTGTTGTCCCAGTGTCTCGTGGGCGTTATGTCTATCTAGGTTTGAGGACGCAGATATGAGGTGTCTCAAGCAGTAATTTGTTTAATTTTGAAAAAGCGGTCGAGGTAGATGTGCAGTTGGAGAATCTTGGCCTATCTAAAAATCGTACAAGTTATGAGTAGTGCGTTTCCAGTGGTCATTTATTACGGACCATCAAGGCCGGATGTCCAATTGGACTAAAAGGTATTTACTGACTACAGCCACCAGCTGACAGCTCCTTGGTTTATTTAGGAGTAGTTAATAGGTACTGCACTGTGAATTAACGGCGTACGTTGCATGGACTGCAGAATATCCCTGTCGTAGCCTACACAATTGTCTAGCAATGGCAGTCTACACCGTGAATTCAGATATCGGTGAAGGAACATTCTGCCGTACCGCAGGAAGATATAGAAGTCCAGGATGTCCCTTCTTTACACTAGTTTCGTAGTTCTACAGGGTTTTATTCACATATGCTTTTACCATGTGTCATGGTGAGTCATCCAGAGGTGGTCGAAGTAGCATACGACCTCTACCAACATCTCGACGTTCCGTCCATGTGGAAGAAGTAACAGCTAACCGTCTCCTCTCTTTACAGGTCACTCATATTGAGGTAGAACATATAACAACTGTCTGTCGACAACCGTCGCACGCTTGGACATGACCGACGCCGGGATCACAGTATACGCGGTCTGTTTACACTTAACGTCTCACATTATTTGTTCGTGCATAACAGCTGTGGAAGAAAGCATGCGGATCATCTTCAGCTCTCCCTCAATCCTTGTTCTGGTCCGATACCCACGGAGTAACGTTACATATGTGTACACATATGTATCCAACCCTGATGGCGTTTAGGCGCTCAGGGCTAGACATTTGCTAGCCCGTTTGGATTTGCGGGCTAGTACCCTGCTAGCACCAGCCCCGTCTAGCCCCGCCTAGCCCCCGGGGCCAGACGGGGCTGGGCCCCGTTTCGGCGGGGCTATGACGGGGCTACGACGGGGCTAGGGACGCGATCGCATTGGCTGACGACGAGTGTGTGATGCGAGCCACACAAATGAGTTGCTGCGCGAAAAGATTGCCGAAGACAGTCAGCCAATCATAAGACTGGTCCGAGACTGAGCTAGCCCTGGGCGACTAAAATGCTAACACGGGTGATATATAGAAACAGTATAAAAAGCATCCGCAAAGAAAATAACAATAAGGACGCGCACTCCTATTAAGTATGAAGCGAAACTTACAAAGACAACCAAATTAAAGAAGAAGGTGCAGAATTTCAAACACTTCGCCCCACCATAAAGCGCACTCATCACGACCTTCAATACGAATGCTCGGCAGTGACCTGACATGTTCACTTCGCGGTTTATTAAAACAATCTACACGACTTTTGTAAGGCAATCTATGAACTATTTATCAATGGCTCTTAAACAGATTCCAAAAAATATATTTCTAACATTTCGGGCAGAAAACGGCACCCACAGACCTCCGACATGTAAAATAATGTTTTTGGCTTTGGGGGCACGAAAGCGATACCAGTCGCATTATATGAGAAGAAACTATGGCGCCGTGGTGTTCCTTACCATGCCGGCACATAGCTCATCCTTTCGAGGTTGCCGAGGGAGAACTAGGCGTGGCATGCTCCCCACCTTCGAATTTGTGACAAATTCTATGATTGTAGCAGAAGCAATGTGACGTCTTCACGGTATTTTCTGCCGCCTAGATAGATTATTGACACTGGAGCATGTGCCACCTCCCTTACAGATCTTACCGGAGCACCATTTACAAGGGCATCGTGCGTTATAGGCGGGCTTATTATGTCGCGGCCCAAGATCCAGATGTCATCGTTCTTTCACACACTTACCGCGCCGTTTGAATTCGACTGGAATTTACTCGTCTCCCCAAGTTTTGACACTTCGATCACCTCCTTCCACCCAGAGTTACGCCTTATCGAAATAAATCGAGTAATCAGTTTAAAAGTGCAAGTAATCTCCGCTTTCACGGATCCCATTGCCGGCGATATTTTCATCCTTCACCGTGGCTCTCAGGAAACCACAATCCGGAGTTTAACAAAGCATTCAGTCGGTTTAGTTGAGATTCCTACGAATACCGACTCCATCGTGCTTCCGAAGCTCATCTCCCGTCGACGAAGTGCTCGATAATCGGGAGAAATCGAAGACTACTTAGAACCTGTCTGCGAAGGCTGAGTCCTTTTTTGCTCCAAATTGCATTTTATACTGAATTCCGTTTGAAAAAAGCTTAACTTTGTGCTCAAAAAAGTAGCCAATTAGCAAATGAAGTCGTCCATTTTAAATTAATGCAACCTCAAAGACATATTGCCAGCATGGGGAATGCATATGTCCACGACCCTACTATGTGTGACAAAAGTCCGCCCCACCCGGGATTCGAACCACGGGCCACTCGTGCGAGGACTGACGCCCTTGAGCGCTCGGCAACGCCGGGACGGCCCGATGTTCACAAAAATAATATATACTCAGGAAAAGGCGACCTATCAATTGTTTGTAAACCGTTTTCTATTTCCTGTGATAAAAACTTGCCGGAAATACTCAACTCGCTCTCAGCTAGACGTGATGGGCCACCGACCACCAACCCTGAAGAACGCTGTTCACTGATGATATCAGCCACAAATAAGCTAGATACTGACATGTCAACACTCTGTGATGGATGTCGAGAACTCACCTCCAGAATTTTGAAACTAGAAGTAGACGTCGACCTCCTCACTGAAATAATAGCGTCACTTCTTAAGTATAACAAAATTAAACCCCCTGAGCAAGATACAAAGGACATGAAAAACACTAATGAGTCGGACCACATGAACCCCAAGAAACCGGTAAAAGGTTATATTTGCGTTCAGCGAAACAAGAGGCAACGCACGAAGTCACTAGACAAGTCTTCGGACTTAACCGAAATGGACGGCAATAAAAATACAACAGACGGAGATGAAACTGGCGCTCGCATTTCCATAAATTTGACAAATCTGGATCATGCAGAGTCCGTCTGCACCAAAACAAAATAACAATCGACAACCCCAAAAAAACCTGTAGAAAATAATCGTATGGACTTACGTACGCCAACAAAGAGCGCTTGTAGCTTGTCCTTCACATGTGTATCAGGCTATGATGCAAAAACTCAGGTGAGACAGCCAAATAAAGACGTTACAGCATATATCACGGACGCGAGCAACTTACCAAATGATTTGGATACAGCAATAAAGGCAGTCCCAGAGTATGAGACTCAGTCAACCGCCAGCAAAAGAGGACAGGATAAAACCACCGGTTTTTTCCCAGACAGATCTCGTTGTGTGGTAGTGCAAGGAGTTCCTGAAGCACCTGGTGCTACCCCGAAAGAGAGGGTGAAACACGATCTGCTGATATTTCAAAACCTTCTCAATGACACGCAAGAACCCGGTGAGGTCCTCGAAATACAAAAGATCTTCCGTTTGGGACCCTTAGTAAGAAACAACGCAGACAAACTGCGGCCGAGACCACTGAAAGTCGTATTGGGAAACGAACAGCAAGCAAATCTCATCTTGTCGCGAAAGTCCAGGCTCCGAAACAGCCATCGTAGAGTGTTTTTTCAGCCGGACTATCACCCAATCGAACGAATGAAAATGAGGACGGTGGTAGCGGAACTGAGAAAACGTGAGAGCGAGGGCGAAGTGAATCTGAAAATAGCAAACAACCAAATTGTAAAAATAGAGCGTTCCTTCTTGTGGAATCATCCGGTAACGTTGACGGTAACAGCACCGGCGCTCGGTTCCGACAAAATTCAGTAAATTGACTATCGACTAGTGGACATGGTACGCCATGCGAAATATGCAGTAATAACTATCAGTCAAAAGAACCCGCAAACAATTTACAGAGATTGAAACAGCCGAATAACATAAAAATAATGTACACATATGTGCAGAGTATATTCAAAAAATTGGATGAAATAAAACTCACTGTGGCCCATTTCCAACCCGACTTGATAGCCTTAACAGAAACATGGTTAAATGCGCAGATAGAAGATGCGGAAGTTATGCTAGATGGTTTCCAGATCCTCCGAATGGACAGAAACGAACGAAGGGATGGGTGGATTGCGATATTTATTCGAGATGGCAT